ATAAATATTAATGTCTTTTATGATGTGCCAAACTCCTAAAGGTAAGATGCCAGTTACTATGGACCCCTCCCTATTTCTGCCCCTCATCTAGCACTCTTTTCTTTGATCATTAGTATAGAACATGCAGGCCCCCTCTTTATCTATAACTTGGAAAGATCACAGCAGCCTCGGGTTCTTTGTACTTGCTCTCTTTCAGGTCTTTCCATGGTTGTCTCCTTGACATCCCTCATGTCTTATCTCCAAAGTCAGTTCTGGGAGAGGCTTCCCTGATCACTCTCAATAAAGCAGCTAGCCCCCTGCACCACATAATTATAATGTTATTTTGTATTTTTTTCCTTCATAGCCCTATCACTATCCGAAATTATTTGTTTGCATGTTGCTGTCTGTGTCTCTCCATTAGAAGGCAAGGCTTTGTCTTTTTTTCCTTCTAGAACAGTGCCTGGCATAGCAGACATACAGTAAAGATTTGTCAAATCAACATATTCCTTGTCAAGCTATAGAAGGCATCTTTGATGAGTAAAGATTCTGAAAATATATGCTACATTTTTACTAGCCCCTTTCACAATATGAGTTTCATACCATTATTTATTTGTAGTTTACTGTAAAGGACACTAGACTGAGAGTCAAGAGTTCTAGATTCTAGCCTTAATCTAGCTACTACCTGAAAGACACTGCACCTTTGGGTCCAGCAATTCAATTTCCAGGAATTTATCTTGGGAAAAAGACTGAGGAGGAGTACAAACAGATATGTACCGGGATTAATACCCAGTGTATTAATAATAGAAAAAACTTACAGGAAGGTAATTTCACACAATGGGGCTTTGGCTAAATAGACTGTGATTTATCCTTCAAGGTCGCACTGTGAATTCACTCAAAAATGATGACTGAATTAATTTTGTTATACAATAAATGTCCATTGGCCAATTTCAGCCACCATTCTAGGTGTGAGGATGTATCAGTGAATGAAACAAAAACCCTAGTGAACCTTGTATTTTAATGGGGATGAAAGGCAATAAAAATAAATGTACTTTATAATGTGGTATCACATGATGGTACGTTCTATGAAGAAAGGATGATGCATAGTAAAGGGATTGGGGAACCCCCCAAGAGAACCCACTGTTTTCTATGGTGACCAGGAAACACCTCTCTGAGCAGGTCATATCTGAGCAGAGACCTGAATGAAGTGAGAAAGTGAGACATGTAAATAAATATCTGTGGCAGAGAGTTCCAGGCAAAGACAATGCCCCTGAGGCAGGAGTTTATGGTGGCAATTTTGAGGGAAAGAAATAAGGCCTGTAGCTGGAAAAGTGTGAGAATGGAAACAACAGTAGGAAATAAAACTGGGGAAGTAGCCAAGGAGTTGGTTTTGTAGGGCCTTATAGAGGACATTAGATTTTATTGTCAAGATGAGAGAAAACCTTGGAGAATTTTGAACAAAGGAGTGGTCAGATCTGTCTTATATTTTAAGACTGTGATAAATAAGCTAGGGGAGGACAAAAGTTGGAGCAAGGAAGCAATTTAGAAGGCTATTTCAGAAGTCCAGTTTCCAGTCCTGTGCCATGGACTAGGACCATAGCAGCGGGAATGGTGAAAATTAGTTATATTTGGGACTTTTACTTATTCTAAATAAAATGAATACAAAGGCAGGTATGGTAGTTTCAGTGGCCTATGGGAGGAAGAGGAGTAAAAGATAAATTTTTGGAGTTGAGTCTTTGTAGTTGAGTGAAGTGCACTTGAATAAAGATGTTGGATAAGGCGGGGTCTGAGTACAAAGGAGAGTAGGTTGCCAGGGGCTGGATACCACCTAGTTCCTACCACGTGCATGAGATCGCATGAAGAAGTGAGAACTGAGTCCTGGGGCAAGTCAAAGGATCAAATGTGCCAAATGTTGCTGCGGGTGAAGTAAAATGAGGACTAGGAATGAGCATGGGAAGTTGTAGGTTGCACTGAGTAAGGAAAGGGTTAAGGTCTAGGCAGGGAGAAAGAGGAGGCCCCTAAGTCCCTTGAGGAGGCTCATGAAGGGGGCTGGAGTTGGGGGTGGCTTTGTGACCAGGCTCACAAAAATCCCAGATCTGGAGAAATGCTGATGCTGACACAACCAGAGAGATAAGGGAACAAACCAGACCGCCTGGCCCTGAATGTTAAGGAGGTTTTTTTTTTTTTTTTTTTTCCTGTGGGCAGCTACATTGTAATCACAGAAATGACAATGCCTCAAAGAAGTAAGTCATGTTATCAGTTGTCTTTGCTCAAACCAAGCCGGCACAAGAAATTCAAGGCCACATGCTTTCTGGTCAGTTCTCAATAAAAGACTGCCAGTAAAAGCCCACAGTGGCAACCCATTTGGGACCTCTTTCACTCTAGAGAGTTTTTTTCATTTCTGTTCTCACCTTCACTTAGTCAACTTTTGCGTCACTTCACCATTTGGTGTCCATGGGGTTCATTCTTTGACTCTGTGAGACAAGAACCCTGCAACCCTGTAACAACATTGGATGAATGGGGAAGAAAAGTCTGATTGGGGTATGCTCACAAGTGAATGGATTTCTTCAACAAATACACTGATGTGGTATGGAGATGGAAAAGACTATTAAAAAGAAAACCATAAAGGAGTGCCTAGGTGGCTCAGTTGGTTAAGTGTCTGACTCTTGGTTTCGGCTCAGGTCACGATTTCAGGATTGTGGGATCAAGCCTCGACAGGCCCCATGCTCAGTGGGGAGTCTGCTTCTCCCTCTCACTCTGCCCCTCTCCCTGCTCACGTGAGCATGTATGCTCTCTTTTTCTCTAAAATAAGTGAATAAATCTTTTTTTTTTTTAAAAAAAAGAAAACCACCCCAGGATAGCAAACCAAGACTTAATTGCAGTTTCAACCTTTCCAGGAGTAGAATTTTAAATCAATCTAGAATTTTCTGATCAGCACCAAATGAGATAATCTATGGCACGGGCCATTGTTCCCCACTCCCAAAGGAAGATGAGGTAATCTTCAAAATAAGGCCCTGCTCTTCCCCCTAAAGGAACGTGACTTTGTGTGAAACAAACCTTTCCTTTGCTAATAACTTCCTTGCTCCACCCTCCTTTCTAGAAAAATGTTCCACTTGGCACAAATCCTTGGAGTTCCCCATTACTTGCTAGACGGGATTTTGTCCAATTCATGAATAGATTAAAAATCCAATTAGATCTCTTAAATTTACTGGGTTAAATTTCTGTTACTTAACAGAAACTTTAGAATCAAAGATTAAAGGTAATTGAAAGACACATCAGCCAGTTACAAAGGCTTATTGGATCCTGAAGCAATTGGTATGACTTGATTTTTATGATTTTTTTTTTTTTTTAAGAGAGGTTAGGGGAAGAGCAGAGGGCGGGAGAGAGAGAATCTTAAGCAGGCTGCAGGCTGAGCACACAGCCTGACATGGGGCTGTCTCATGACCCCAAGATCAAGAACTGAGCTGAAATTGAGAATCAGAAGCTTAAACAATTGAGCCACCTAAGTGCCCTTGATTTTGATGAATTTAAATAATTACTATTTTATTTTATTTTTTTAAAAAAGATTTTATTTATTCATGAAAGACACAGAGAGACAGGCCGAGATGTAGGCAGAGAGACAAGCGGGCTCCATACCTGGAGCCCGTTGCAGGACTTGATCCCAGGACCCTGGGATCACAACCTGAGCCAAAGGCAGACACGGAACCACTGAGCCACCCAGGCACCTCTACTAATTTATTTTTAAATGATACAACATTTCTATCGTTATGGGGGAAAATGAGAGTCCTATTTTGGATGTGTATATTAAAACGAAATAATGTCTAGATCTAATGGGTAGATATACATTGAAGGTGGATAATGAGTACACTGTTTTTTTTTTTTTTTAAAGATCTTATCTATTTGAGAGAGGAAGAGAGAGAGAGCAAGAGCAGTGTGAGGGGAGGGGGAAAAGCAGATTCCCTGCTGAGCAGGGAGCCCAAGTAGGGCTTGATCCCAGGACCCTGGGATCAGGACCCGAGCTGAAGGCAGAGGCTTTACCCACTCAGCCACCAAGGCGCCCCTCTACTTTTGTATACACTCGGAATCCCGTTCTTTTCTAAAAAATGAAACCAAGTAATCTTATTTTAGAGGTAAAGTTGAAAACTTATCAGAATAACAATTTTTTTTTCTTAAAGATTTTATTTATTCATGATAGTTACACACACACACACACACACACAGAGGCAGAGACACAAGCAGAGGGTGAAGCAGGCTCCATGCACCGGGAGCCCGACGTGGGATTCGATCCCGGGTCTCCAGGATCGCGCCCCGGGCCAAAGGCAGGCGCCAAACCGCCGCGCCACCCAGGGATCCCAGGATAACACTTTTTTATGTCCAGTATGCTCTCGTCAGATTTCCACGAATTTATAAGTTTGTTACTTCTTATGAAAATTGCCTCCCAAAAACTTTGATACATTTTTTTGTTAGTTACCTGGACATATAGATATGTTTCAATTCCTAAATGAAAATAAATATGAATGTGAAGAAATAGAAGCTGAGAATGCTATTAATTCCCCGATCACGTTCATAAATATTTCCAGATTAAAGGTAAATGTAATGTTATTTTGGACAGTAGGATTAGAGTCGATCTAATTTTTAAAAATCGGCTTATCTGTATTTTCTAATTTTCATGTAAGGCAAACGGATACGTTAATTTCAGGTGTCAAAAAAAAAAAAGATAAAAAAGGAGCGAAGCCACCAGTTGCAACTTTTACTGATAGGAAGTACTAGCACAGACACCCCCAAGCGCGAGGCCGCCGGCGGCCAAACCGCCGAGGGCGCGGGGAGATACGCGCAGGCGCAGTAGCAAGGTACTGGTTGGAGGCGGGACTAGAGCGGCGGCTAAAATACAGTTCTTTCAGCCAATCAAGGGGCAGTGTCAGGGGCTTCTTCCTGGAGGAGGTGGCCGGAAGTCGGCTTTGGGTTGCGGAGGGGAAGGCGGCTCCAGCGTAAAGCCTGAGCTGAGGTAAGTGGGCGGCGACGGCTTGCGGCTTCGTGCCGCGTGCGTCTCGCCTTCCGGACCCCGCGGCTTCCCCAGGGCGGGCTGGGAATGGGGGAAGCCTGGCGCGGACACGCTCCGTCACCTTCCTCTCCCACGTCCCTCGGAGATGCGGCCTCGCTGCTGCCCGCGGGGAGCCGGGCGGAAGGTGCCGTCGGCGCGGCGCGCTCGGGGCGCCCTCCGTGGGGGAGCCCTGCGTTCCAGTCCCGCGCCGCGGGCTTGCTGAGCTGGGCGGCCTTGGCGGGCCTCGGCCCCCGGGCCTTGTCGGCGGAGGACGACCATGCCCGCGCTGGTCGGGGATGGAGCCCGAGGTCGGCCGGCGATGCCAAGCCTAGTGGCCACGTTGAGGCGGGGAGGTGTTCGGGGCCCGGGCACCACGGCCGGCGGGGCGGGGCGGGGCGGGGCGGGGCGGGCCCTGGAATGCCTTCCTCTCGGCTGAGCCCCCGGCTTGGCACCCACCCCGCGGGAGGGGGGCCGGGGTCCGACCGCCGGCCATGACGCTTGGCGCCGGTTTCAGTAGAGACACCGCCTCGGAAGAGTCGGCCCCAGAGAAGCGGCGGAGCCATGAGCAGAGTTTGTGCGACACGTCAGGTTGCTTCCGTAGGCGAGCTTGCCCCGGGCAGCGGAAAGGAGCCGGGATGAGAGCCGTTGCCGTGGTCTCACCAGCCCCTCTGAGACGCGGAGTCTTCCTCTCGCGAGTGAAGCTGACAGACGTGTGAGGAAGACTGAGAGGCTTTTTTTTTTTTTTTTGAAAGATTTTATTTATTCATGAGAGACCCAGTGGGACTCGATCTCGGGTCCCCGGATCCCGCCCTGAGCCACCCAGGCGTCCGCCGAGAGGCTTTAAAACGTACCTGTCACGTGGTTGGCCTCTGGGAAACGGCAGGTTGGATCGAGGAGTGCTTGTGGCGTGGGGAGGCGGAGCCTGGGCTGTCTCTACAGTCGCTTTTGAAGTAACCAGATCAATGCTAATTCTCTGATTTTGGTAGTGATCACATATAAACACTGTTTATCACCCCCACCTCCACCCCCACCCCCCCCCTCCCCGCAAGCAGTTTTACCCCTTTTTACTCGAGGGCCGCCTTATATTACAGAGAAATGTTTTATCCCCTCGTCATATTGATGAAGTCATGGATGATTTCCGACTTTTCCTACTCTTTTCAAACCTCGCTGCATTAAACACCCTTAGTGCACATTTTTATGTACTTGTGACGTAGGACAGATGTCAGGGTTTGAAACCAACAGCCAAGAAAGAGTTCTTGAGACGTCTGTGGTGCAAAAAAGTGGTCTTTATTGAAGCATGGGGACAGGACCCGTGGAAAGAGCTGCCCTGGGAGAGTGCGACCTCTGCTGGCATCCAGCGCCTGTCGCATGGAAGGTGTTCTAATATTTGTTGAATGATGGAGTATTTGAAATCTCGATAGTCCGTTAGATGAAAAGTATCCTTTTTAAAACTTTGCTTTTAGAAGTATATTAGTCTGAATATTTTTCTGCTTTTATTCAGCATTTGCATTTTCCTTGTCTTTTTTTTTTTTTTTTTTTTTAAGATTTTATTTACTTGAGAGAGAGGGAGCTAGCCCAGCGTGGGGAAAGGCAGAGGGAGAAGGGAGAAGCACATTCCCTGCTAAACTGGGAGCCGGATGCGGGCTCAATCCCAGGACCCTGAGATCAGGACTTGAATCCATGACTTGAGCCAAAGGCAGAAGCTTCACCGACTGAACCACCCGAGCCCTCCTCCTTTTCCTCTTTTGTCTATTTTTCTGTTTTAAAAAACGGAGGTTAAAAAAAAAAACTCAATCAGTGGGCCTTTATTGAGGATCTTTTAGGTGTTGAGGTGCTGGAGATGGAGTTGTGTATTAGGCAGTTCCTGAAGTCCTAGTGCCCTCCTTCTGGTGGGAGTGGAGTCAGAAAATAAATTTTTGAAAAGTCAAAATAAAATTTCCAATATTTGCTCTGTTAGCTTGCAGACATTTTTCTCCCAAAAGAATGGGATTGTCTTTTAATTTTGCTTATGATAATTTTCCTGTGTGGAATTTTTAGACTTATTTTTGGTAGTTAGAACTGTTGGCCTTTTGGGGATCCCTGGGTGGCGCAGCGGTTTGGCGCCTGCCTTTGGCCCAGGGCGCGATCCTGGAGACCCGGGATCGAATCCCATATCGGGCTCCCGGTGCATGGAGCCTGCTTCTCACTCTGCCTGTGTCTCTGCCTCTCTCGCTCTCTCTCTGTGACTATCATAAAATAAAAATAAAATTAAAAAAAAAAAAAAGAACTGTTGGCCTTTTGTAGGAGCCTTAAAACTTGGTAGTTATTTTTGTGTTTTCTTTGTTAGGTTGTAAGTGACACTAAGATGGAAGCAATGTTTTTTTTTGTTTATCCTTGATAATGTAGTGTAGTGTTTAAGATATTATGGCTCTGAATCCTTCCTCTACTACTTAATCTGTGACTTTATGCAAGTGGTTCAACCTGAATGCTTTATGAGCCATCCGGGAGATCAGGCAGTTTGGATTAGAGCTAGAAAGTGCAGAGTCATAAACACAGAACAGGGCTTCTCCACTTTGGCACAATATTTTGACATTTGGGGCTGGGATAATTCCTTTTTGGGGGCTGTCATATGCATTGTAAGTGTTCAGCAGCATCCCTAGCCTCTACCAGTTAGATGCCAGTAACACCCCATCCTCCAGTTGTGACAAGTAAAAATATCTCCAGATCTTGCCGTATGTCTCCTGGTGGGCAAAATTGCCCTTGGTTGAGAATGACTGGTAGAAATGGTGCTAAAAGCCATGGAATTAACTGATAATCACCCAAGGGAGAATATAAAACAGAAGTCTAAAACTATTGGCCCACAGACCACAAAGATTGTAGATAGTTCTTTTTGACCTCACAAGACTTGACCATTTCTAGAACTAATTACCAGTATTTAAAAATTGAGAGATTCTGCATGAAATCTGGATTTTTGCCCTCTTTTAAGAAATAAACTGGGGAGCAATGAGTCTTCATTCCCATATGAAAGCTAATGGCTGGAGACTTTGAGATTTGGCATGCTTATTCATCTGAATCATTGTCCCAGAGTGCTTCACTGTTTATGTTACCTGCAGTTTTGGCACTTGAATTTCTGATTCCCTAATTTAGAGTGAGAAGAGGGCCCCCAGAGCAACCCTCTGAGGCATATAACATTAAAATTTGGGTAGAGGAAAGGCACTAAATGGGATTGAGAGGCATTGGCCAGTGAGATAGGAGGAAAACCTAAATGTAGGCTCATGGAAGCTGAGGGAGAAGGGAAGTGTGTTGAAAAAGAAGAAAATACTGATGAAAGATTGAGTAAAATCAGTTTAGAAAAATATCCATTGGATTTGCGGTGATTGTTGATGACTTTGAATAGTTTTTGTGGATTTAGGAGGTTGAGGCCAATTTGGATAATGACAAAAATGAATATGCAGAGGAGTGAATTATGAGTTGGTAAAGTTATAGTAGATCATGATGCCTTTGAGCACTGCCTCCTAACTCCACCAAACCTGCTCATTCACCTCACTCCCAAAAAGTCCTTTTCACCATCTTGGCTTGGTAGAAACCCAGGGCTGCTCCACAGTTTCCCTTACTCAGTATCTCACAAAATTCCGAATGTAAAACTGCCTCCAGTGTAGTAGTATTTGCCATCTTTGGTGTTGGATGGTGGTGTTACACCTTGAAAATCAGGTATGGTCGGTTTAAAGTTAACGTGTCCATAAGAAAATGTAGTGTGCATTGCAGGGAAAAAAAGGTATGAAATTGGATCATCATTTCATCAAAGAAGCTCAGGTGATACCAGCTGTCTGAAATACAGCAATGTTAATTTTGTCAAAGTGTTATTAGACTTATAAGTAGGTGTTTGCTTTTGGAATCAATCTATAATATAAAACCAAAAGGATTGTGATACGAGATGGGGAGACAGCATGTGTAATTTGGCTATAGAGAAGTGTAGAAAAGCGATGTAACTAGTGAAGGCTATGGATTCCAGATTTTATTTATAGATGAAAATATACTTCATATATTTTTTCTTTTTTTTTTACTTCATATATTTTTTGTGTGTGCCAATGAAAGTCTTAAGCAAAGAAGGAGAAATAGTTGGATGATTGAAGATACAATGCTAATTAGAAAAAGATGGCAGCCTGTCCATGTTGTTTTAGAAACTAAAGGGATTGTTTTGTCCTGTGCCCCAAACTGCCAAAGAAAAATAAGAAAAATACTGTCTGTAGTCACCCACTGTGACAAGTTAGTTTTATAACTCTACTCTAAATCTTTGGCTTATTTCCATAGGTTCTTGATCTTCCACTATGGGTGAGCCACAACAAGTGAGTGCCCTTCCACCACCTCCAATGCAGTACATCAAGGAATATACAGATGAAAATATTCAGGAAGGCCTTGCTCCCAAGCCTCCACCTCCAATAAAAGACAGCTATATGATGTTTGGCAATCAGTTCCAATGTGATGATCTTATCATCCGCCCTTTAGAAAGTCAGGGCATCGAACGGCTTCATCCTATGCAGTTTGATCATAAGAAAGAACTGAGAAAACTCAATATGTCAATTCTTATCAATTTCTTAGACCTCTTAGATATCTTGATAAGGAGCCCTGGGAGTATAAAACGAGAAGAGAAACTAGAAGATCTTAAGCTGCTTTTTGTACATGTGCATCATCTCATAAATGAATACCGACCGCACCAAGCAAGAGAGACATTGAGAGTAATGATGGAGGTGCAGAAACGTCAACGCCTTGAAACAGCTGAGCGATTTCAGAAGCATCTGGAACGAGTCATTGAGATGATTCAGAATTGCTTGGCTTCTTTGCCTGATGATTTGCCCCATTCTGAAGCAGGGATGAGAGTAAAAACTGAACCAATGGATGCTGATGATAGCAACAATTGTACTGGACAGAGTGAACAGCAAAGAGAAAATTCAGGTCATAGGAGAGACCAGATAATAGAGAAGGATGCTGCCTTGTGTGTCCTAATTGATGAAATGAATGAAAGACCATGAAGGATGTTTCTTTTTCTTTTATTTTTCAGTAAATGGCATATATGGTTAATTTGCTTTGGAGAGTTTCAAAAGAGATATAACTAGAAGTCATGTAAATGACTTGACTCTAACTTTATCAATTATGAGATGTCACAGGCTGTAATTTTACTTTATGGCAAGTATAGGCAAATGAGGATATGTATACGTTAAAAATAATCACCTTAAAAAGCAAAGTGCTGAAATTGTGTGAAACATCCTGGTTTTGGAGTTGCAGAAAACATTAAAGATATCCTCAGTAATAGCAAGCTTTCATCTTTGAAAAGTAGGTTTGTTATTTGATTTAAGAATGATAGATAAATAAAGGATATCAAGCTGTATAAATGTGAAATTATAAAATCTTTAGATTTATTTTACTTAAAAATTTACTTGATCTCTAAAAAAGTAGTGTAACATGTTAAAAGAGAGGAACCCCATAGATTTATAAAGCAGCAATTTTATTTTTCCTCTTGAGTGCTTCTGTAAACACACTATCTCAGCTTCTTGTTCCTACCGTGGGTAGGTCTCATAACCTGTTTCCAGTCACTCAGATAATAAGTCCTTTGAATACTTTTCATTACATTCATTTTAGTAAAATGTCTATGTAATTAGCTATACATTTCCTTTAAAGCTGTACTCAGACTTGCTAAGGCTGGGAGCCTGCAATGAGAAGGGGATTAGTAGCAGAGACTACTAATTGGATTGTGTATTGGAGATGCTTGTTCCCCTGAAATATGGCTGCCATGCCAGGGTGTACATTTTTTCACTCCTTGGGTCTACGTACAGCCATAGGACTAGGTTCTTAGCAATGGAATATGGGTGCACAACTCCAGGCCTCTTGCATAACAATTTTTTTTTTTTTTAAAAGATTTATTCACGAGAAACACAAAAGAGAGGGGCAGAGACATAGGCAGAAGCAGGCTCCCTGCAGGGAGCCTGATGCGGGGCTTGATCCCAGGACCCTGGGATCATGACCTGAGCCAAAGGCAGACACTCAACCACAGAGCCACCCAGGTGCCCCCATAACATTTTTTTTTTGTAAGTTCCTCCATATTCTTCTCAGCTGCTGGTTGGATGGCTACACCTGGGTTAACTTTGGAAGCCACTTGAAAATAATAAAAGTTCAGTCAGGTGGGCCTTTGAATGACTGAGGACTAGGCTCTCCATTTGCTAACCACCCCCTACCCTAGCTGATTTGACTATATGAGTGAGAAGTCAGCTTGTTTTTGAGCACTGACATTTTATTTCTGCATTTTCTTTCCTGCCATCCATCCTCTCTTCCACCAGGGTCTTTGTAAAGACTCCGCTTTGTATCTGAACTTCTTTGCTGGTCTTTCTCTTTATGTAGGTCAATGGTTCTAAGTTTTGTCCAGCAGCATTACCATCACTTGAGGACTTGTTAGAAATGCAGATTCTCAGACCTCACCCTAGACCTAAATCAAACTTGTTGGGTAGGGCCCAACAAGCGGTGGTTTAAAAAAGCCCTTAGGTTCTGATTCACACTCAAGATTAAGAATCACTGATAAAGGAGGCACCTGGGTGGCTCAGTTGGTTAAGCTTCTGCCTTCGGCTCAGGTTATAATATCAGGGTTTTGGGATCCAGCCTCACATCAGGCTCCCTGCTCAGTGGGGAGCAGAGCTTGCTCCTGCCCCCCCCCCCCACCCCGTTCTCTCAAATAAGTCTTAAAAAAAAAAAAAAAGTCACTGACAAAGGTAGTACATTTTCCAGATGTCTACTTTTGATTCTTCCCTCAGTTCTTGGTTCCCGGTATACCACTCTTCAGGGGTTTGGTATATTTCTAGTCCTAGAGCTGGCAAAAGTCTAGTTTAATATGGCTATATGCCTATTCTTTATGTGAAACATTTATGCATCCTTTTCCTTAAACATCTTGGGAGTGTAGACTGTTGCCAAGTAGATAGCTCTCTATTAGGCCACTAGTTGGCCAAAATTTTTTTCTATATGTGTTTGGTATAGTCTTTGGGCTCTGGGAGCACAGTCCAGATTAAACCTCAAGATTTAATCGAAGATGGAGAGGAGCCCCCCATCTGCTTGGGGGGGGGTTGTTGGATATTGCATAACATGAGCAACTCTCCAAAAAATTTCTTTCCTTTGACCTCAACTGTTTTATAACTTTGAGGCTAAGGGGTACTAGCCCCTTATTTTTGGCTGCTTTTCAGTTTTTGCATGGAAAAAACTAAATGAGTCATCTAATGTTACTAGAATCACATCATTTATATGGGAGTGTGTGTGTGTGTGTGTGTGTGTGTGTGTGTGTGTGTGTTTAGGAAGGATTAGGAGTTAAAATTCCATGAGGAATTTTAAATTCTGACTTTGGGAGGATCTGAGGATCTGTTCTTGAAGGTCCAGGTAGCACCTCACCAAAACTAATAAAGAGTTCTAATGTGAACTGCAATTAAAATGAGATGAAAGAACACTAGTCTGATAGTTTCAAGTTTGAAAGTCATAGTCTTTCAATCTTGTGAGGGTTAAAATACATCTCTGCATACCTAGTTATAGTGAATATTCCTGATAGACTGATTCCTCAAAATGAAATCTCTGGAATAGCCTGGCACCTCTTGAAATTACCGATTCCCAGACTCCAGAGATTTTGATTTCATTGTCCTGGAGTGGGGCTTTGGCACTGGTATTAAGAAATCTCTTGATGACTGTGCGGTGAGTTAAAGGGGTATTGTATTAGTACACTCTGCTTAACTTAGTTGAAGCAAAATGACAAATTTTTGAAAAGATACTATGCAGTTACATGATTAAAGGATAAATTGAACTGTGAAGAGGACTAGAGTCTCCAGGGCAACTGCTACTCAAACTCCATTCAGATCCCTTCATTGTTTCTCTTGTCTGGTTTCTTTATGTTAGCTGCTGCTGCTTTTTTTCTTTTCTTTCTTTCTCTCTTTCTTTCTTTCTTTCTTTCTTTCTTCTTCTTTCTTTCTTTCTTTCTTTCTTTCTTTCTTTCTTTCTTTCTTTCTTTCTTTTTTTTTACAAACCAGCCTTTTTTGTGAATGTATAGAGAACATGGCTGCTAGCAGTTCCCAAGTTTAAATCTTTGTGCACTGCTGTCAGGGAAAAAAGGAAGACTGGGGGGAAAAGGAGGCATTAACTAGTCCAGAGGGGGAAAATAATAAGAGTGGCATTCCTCATTTCAGCTGGGCCAATCAGCTGGCGCCCGAATCCTGTTAAGAATTTGGCAGTCCCCAAAATGTCCACGCATGGGAGAAGGTAGTCTCCGTCTCAGGAAAAGAAGTGCTGAGTTTTGTCATACTGTAGATGTCCACTACAAATTGTGCACATGTAAATTTTTGATAAAAATAAACAGGTTGTATTAATCTCTATTCCTAAATTCTCCACCATACTATTCATTTATTAATTGTATTCATTTAGTGAAAAGTGGGGTCCTCTGCCTGACACTGGTCTAGTTACCATGGAAATGGAGAATGGGGAGGAAAATGGAAGAAAGATAAAACAAATGAATTAATTTTTGAAGGTCTGTTTGTGTTTTAACTATTCAGCCATTACAACACTCAGAAGAATCTTGCTTCTCATTTTATTCCTATTGCCTGCTCAAAATTCCTTGTTCACACTATCTTTTCAAGTTATGTTTACATGTTCACATTTGTGAAGGGCTTTGGAAGGGAGTTAAAACTGTGCTGAGCTGTATTTCAGAGAAAAGTCCTGTGCTAACTTCTAAGGTCACTGGAAACAGAAAGTACAAGTGTCCCATAAAGAAAAAGCATGATTTGGGTGAGAAATCATGTTTGGCTGCAACATAGGGAAGAGGTTGGAAGAGGTTGGAGCTAGAGAAGCAGATGGAGGGCAGATTAGAGGCTTTAGAAGGTTAAGGGAAGGAGTTTGTTTTATCCTAAATAAGATGGGAAATCTATAGCTAATCTATTGCTTAGCACTGTTCTAATCATTTTACATAGATAAATTTATTTTATCCTCACAGCATCCCAGTAAAATTAGTATTATGGGACATCTGGGTGGCTCAGCCAGAACCCCAGGATCATGAGATGCTCAACCACTGATCCTGGGGTTCTGGGATTGAGTCCTGCATCAGGCTCCCCATGGGGAGCCTGCTTCTCCCCTTGCCTGTCTCTGCCTCTCTCTCTCTCATGAATGAATAATTTAAAAAAAAAACATTATGATTTTTTAACATCCGTATTACAGATGAGGAAGCAGAGGTTCTAAAAGGTTATATAACCCACCCAAGGTCACCAAGCTAATGAGAGTCAGAACCAGGATTGAAACCTAGTTTCAAGGCCTGAGCACTCAACCTCCATACTTGAGCACCTTTCTACTGCATCATATAATTTAAAAGTCATAGTGGAGCTTAGAGTGGAATCCCATATTTCAATCCTAAAGTCCATACTCAAGACACTACACAATACTGGATTAAGGGAGGAACAGATTTGTAGATGGAAATTATGAACTTCCTTTGAATATGTTAAGGCATTTATGTCTTAGACTTCTGCAGGCATCTTCAGGAGATACTGTGTTTATAGCGCTAATCTTCCTTAAAAAACTGCTGTTGGTAGGTGTTCTACTATATGAAACTAAGGCTCAGTTTTGTGGCTTGCCCAGATGGTGTATCCAAATTAGAATCGAGGTCAGGAGTTGACCACTTTTTCTGTAAAGAACAAGTTAGTAAATATTTTAGACATTGAGGACCATCAGGTCCCTGTCACAACTACTGAAATATACTATGGTGCAAAAGCAGCCATAGACTATCTAAGCAAATGAGTGTGTCTATGTTCCAATACAACTTTCTATAGACACCGAAACTTGAATTAAATAGTTTTCATGTTATGAAATATTCTTTTGATTTTCCCTATTTAAACAAATAATCCTTAGCTTGTGGCATATACAAAAATAGGACAGCTAACTGGATTTGGTCTGGAGGCTATGACCTAGGTGGTTGGATTCAAAACCCTGGAGCGTGCTCACAAAACTAGTAATAACCACAGAAATAAAAATTATAGGATTGTTCTAAGGCCTAAATGAGATTATGGCTACAAAGTACTTAGCACAATTTCTGGTAGTTAGTAACCTATCAAAGGTCAATTAGTATCTTACCTGATAAGTCCTTTGTCTTCATTTGGCATTTAGATTCCAGAGATTTAAGAACTGTTTTCAAATTGCAATGTGATTAGTCTAACAGTAAGTGGCACTCTTATCTCAAGTTTAGAAGCTGCAGTCAGGGAGTAGGCAGGAGAAACTCAGGTGCTGCTTATGATACTGAGCTTGTTTTTATTCAACAAGCGAGACTTGTTGCCTATGTCTCTAGCCTACAAAATCTTTTCTCCTGGAGAGAACAGGGGGTGAATTTTTCAAAATACTTAGTATTATGTTGTGAATACAGTCTTCTGATCAGAGCTTTTGTTTTCCGGGCAAGACCTGGGGAAGGCCTTGGTGCTGTTTGTTTGTACTGAGTGAATGATGACAGATGCTTC